GGAATTCAATCGACACCCACATCCACATCCACACCCCTTAAATTTACTGATCGGACGATGATGTTAGTATTAGTAAAGCAATTATTTCAGCCTGATTCATTTCCATTTCAAACCTTCTCAATACCAATGAACTCAAAGATAGTGATAATCTTTCATCTTCAAATATGTTTGCATTTGAAATTCTTTCAAATTTAGAGATCTTTAAATTAGGTTTTTTTTGAAAGAATGTCATAGAAAAATATGGAATCGATTTCAGTTATTGTTAACTATTATAAACTGTTTTCAACAGATCAGTGTATGTTATGTTCAATGTGATCCGTTACTTCATATATAATTTTTGTGGAGTGCTCGGTCGATTGGAAGAGATACAATGCGATCTTTAGTATTACCACAGAGTCGATCTTTCACTGTCAGTTATTGAGAATTTCGTGCAAATCAGTGTCTTTAGAATTGTTAGATTCAGCGAGCAAAATCGAGTGATTTCTTCCATATTGTACCAGATTGAGTTGATCGAAAAAACAATTAATTATTTCTCTCAACTGTTCACGAAATGATCTAGTACACATTCCTTATTGTTCGCAAATGAAAATCTCGATTTTTCATCTTCTCTACTGAAATCTAAACATGCTGTCATGTATAGATGAAAACTGAATCGATATTGAGCCACTGACTGGAGTTGTAGTTTACCGTCGGTATATTTTTTCTTCTATAAGACTTGGATGAAAACAGTGCTAATAGATTTTTCTCAATGTGAAGTTGTTCATATTGGAAGCTGCTTTAAAAGACTCTCTGATTTGAGAATATCTCATCAGATATGATCGCTGGATAGACTTGACATCTAAAGCTGAAAATATTTACCATATGAATATCTAACAACAGTACAGAACGCGAATAAAGCATGAGTATTTATTTCTAATTTTAAGATCTTTATTCGTGCGCCATTTTGTAGATTCAACACATTGTTCCTAAACTAGTTCTACCCTTCTATACTTATGGAATCTAGGAGAATTATCGAATCATACCACATATATACATCTGAGAATGTGAATGTAGGTAAAGAGAAAAACTCTTACACTCACACTCACATTATTGTTTAGTACTTACATTCAAATCATGATCAATGGACATTGCTACACAACTATTAGACTCCATAGTGTTCATCTAATTGCAGTAAGACATGACTTAAAACTATTGTACGACATTATTGGAATATTTGTACTGGTCGTCCCTTTTCAATAAATGTTGCTTTTCTGTCGAAGAAGATAATGTAACTAAAACCTAATGGCAAACTATGAACGATTATGCTCGTACCATCGATAGTAGCAATTACTTGTAATATTGAATCTTTTTAAACTGTAAATCATAAGACGACAAAATTCTAACAAACGATATAAATAAATGACGAACCCAACTAAGCCAATAGATAAAGAACAATATTATCGTGTGAATGTTGGTGTGTAAATCGTTTCATGAGCTACATCCACCTTAATATGTTGCCCCATAAGACATAAACTTTGAACTTGACTTTTTTTACTGGTAGCATAAATCTGACTTCAGTTTCATATTTAGTATGACATTTTCCATTCGATAGGTTATTTCAGAAGTCTTTAGAATCATCCAGATATGATTCGTACCGGCCGCTTTTGTACTGTGTGTATTTCACTCAAGATCTTACTAAGCTGCTGTCAAAATCAAATTACAAATCTTGAGTGCAAGAAAAAATGGTAAAGTCTTCTTTTTAAATTTTCAATATATATTAACATTTTTTTTACCTTTTACTGCATACAAAATCTTGCTGTGCTCGAATTTATGATGGAGTGCAGATATGCATTCACCGGTTTTTCTACCGTCTACAACAAAGATTCAATAGGAAATGGTTTTCTTTTTAAATTAATTATTCCGTAAGTGATAAATATTATTCAGACTCCTATTTGAGTCTCAGTGATAACGAAACGTTTTGATTTTAGTTCAGATTTGATCCAAGCAATTCATCAACTGAACGAATAAGGACAAAGATTTTATGAAAAAATAACAAATTCTTTCTCTAATGTGAATTTCGGTTGAACGAAACTTAACAACAAAACACAGTTGTTGCTGCAACAAAGACAATGATCCATTTTCATCGCTATCTAGTATTTAGAGACGTCACTGCGACTTCTCCTATTGAAAATGAGCCACGATTACTAGATACTCAATTCGAAGAATACGTTCAATTACATAAAAACTCGTCTATTAGAATAAGTAAATGTTATAGATGTATGCCGATCAACTTTGTTGGTATCAATGTGTTTGACAAAAATTTTCAGTCATCATCTTCTCAAACTCATCTGTTTTCAGTTAGAAATTAATAATGGAAAAATATTGATGTTATTTTATCATGTATATAGAGACAAATATTCTCTCAATTGTTCTATTATCCGTTAATTATAAAAACAAGTAGCGTCTATCATTAGCTAGGTAGAATCTCTTTTCTGAAATTATTCGAGATTTTCCCATCTTTCTTCTATTATTATACATTCGAATAATACGCATCGATATACTTGTTCCAATTTTGATGGATAATCATTGAAATGTGTTTGAACCAGCGATGTGACCGGGTCGAGTTTTCAAATTTTGAATCGAACCAATCCTTGGAGGAATTTAACCAGGGCTCAATCGAATCGAACTGGAAGCAAAACGTTTTGTTTCACTATGGGTCTGATTAAAGTTATGACATTTGGTAATCGATTTCTTTGTGTTTTCCCAGCTATTTTCATCACCAAACAGGTTGAATGACATCGTATATATTTGATAAGCCAGAAACATTTATTTTACACTGCATTCGATGACACGTTATCTTATTCCCATTCAAATAAAAGTCAAGAAATTTTTATTCTTTCAGAATGAATAGATCAAACAAGCACGTAATAAAATTCATGTAAAACATATTAGAGTACGATTTTTACAATTTAATATCTTCAATCAATTTTTAGAAAACTACTTTCTCAAGTGATTCCCAGCCATGGAATAAGGAATAGCATTGGAATGTTTAGGATGCTAAGAATCATCGAACTGGCGGCGATATGAACTGAAATTGATCAGGTGATCCTTGTGTAGAAAGATGTATGGTGTCACTTCTTTCTTCGCAAGAATGTGCAAAACAATCGTCTCCACCTCTCTTTGGTTAAAATTGTGTTTTATAGGGTGTGTGGGCATGGATGTACCCATTTTATATGTATTCACATCAAATTGTTCTTGTTTAAATAAAATAAGGCAAATTGATTTCGCTGGCACAACAAGAAAAATGAAACAGTCACATTTTATGTTTTGGAAATTGATAATGTGTAGAGTGTAGAAAAACAACAACAAAGGAACTAATAACAAATATGGCCATTCATATCGAATATACATTTTCCATCTTTATTTCTGTACTTCTATTTAATTTAGCATCATTTTCCGTCCTCCTTATAAATCCACGGGGTTTCGTTAAGATATTTTAAAATGCAATCTTTCAATATCGTAATCGAATCCATCGTGAATTATCAAATTTATTTTAAAATATATAACACAAATTCTAAAATAATTCATTAATGCTGTTTGCGAGTATCTATTTACTGTGGGGAACCAGACCAACATATTCTTTTTTAGACTTCAACTATTCCGTGAAACACCTATTAACTACAGCAGTTATTCCACGCAATATACAATTGGTTCCGCCAGATGAATAATGACAAATCCTTTCGGATCATTTTTATTACCACACGAAGGACTGTTTGAAAGACCTCCATGTAAATCATTCGGAAAATATTCTTTGGTTTTCGAAATCTATTAATGTTTGTCAGAGTTATGTGAGAAAAAAGCGCGTACTTTTCGTAAATTCATGATGAGTAGGTTCGGCTGTGAACCTAAGATGGGTGTAGAAATCTATGACACAATACACTTAGATCAATCTACCGAATATTAAGGGCGATTACTCACTCATATAACATTTATTCTTTTCATTCGACACAATTTTCTCTCTTAATTATCCCTTTTCAGGAAAAAAAACTCACCAAGGATGTGATTTATAGACAAACCAAGTTTAGTTCTGAAGTATTATGAATAAAATTGACTCGTCTTTCTACTGGAAGTTAAAAGAAATTGCTGGAACAATTCATTTTCAGGAAAAATCTTCACGTCGCCAAGAACACTGTTTTTCCAATCACATATCAGCTAGACCACTTTTATTAGACTCAAACAATTTATGCTGAAAGAGCTTTGATATGTAATTGTATTGATTATAATTAGTTTCTTCACCATCTGTTTATAAGAAGAAAAACTCAGAAAACGAACAGTTAAAACACGTGTGTTTAATTCATAAAAACTTGAAATTTTATTATTTAAATTCAAAATTTTATCAGTTGTCTCAACTGAGATATATCGAAAATACTAAATCTCGTAAAAGTTTTGTCGCAAACGCTAGTCCTTCACATTCAGCGTTTTTGTATAACATTCTAACCCACATGCATCTATATTTATAATCTTACGAATCGGACACATAGCATCAATAAACATAAGCATTATCAGTTGAATTTAGTTTATTTTAACCCAACCGAAGAAGTAGCATAAATATAATCGACAAGCATCATTGAGAAGAAAAAGAAGCATGATAGTAAAACAAAAACATACTTTATAATAAGTAAAATCAATCAGTTTGAACAGAAAACGTCGAATAAAAATTACACAATTGAAAATTTTCTTTTACGAGACAACGAGTTTTTTTTTGTAAAAGAATTTAGGAAGACAAAAAAATAACACGATAGAAGATGCACAGAAGACTTAGCAGAATTTAAACATGGTGTAGTCACAGAGAACAAATATGAAGAATTAAAAGAATTTTTCTCATTTTATTTTATCTGCAAGATCAGATGGAATAGTCTACTTCGATGTCAATTCCGAAGTAATGTCGTAAAAATTAAAGTTTACATACGTAAATATGCAGCTGAATTCTTTGGTATGCTGGGCGTTTGTCTCTATCATTTTTAAAAAGCAAAAGTCTTGTATATCTTCCTATATAAGTCTACCGCGGCGTCTCCTTGATCGCCTGCTGCTTTTCTAAGAACTTCTTCTGTTACGAAATCGGTTAGCGTCTCAGCACCTTCCGGAGAATGAATATTCAATCGTTCGCAACGACCTCCTGTTTCATTTGCAATATATTTGAAATTATCTTTTGCATATCTTGTAAGATAGAATGCATGAACAGGTAAATTTTTCGATTTTAATTTTTCTAACTCATACGCAAAATATGTTGGCTTACCAAATCTAGTCTTCTCCCAATAAGCTTCACCAAAACCTGCTCGTTTTTTGCGGACCTCTTCTTGACTATTTGCTGGAGCATCTCCTATTAAAATTACTTGAGAGATTGAATCGAGCGTTTCACTTTCTTTAACTGCATGCCATAAGCCAATTTCAATGGCTTCTGCTCCCATGCCACCTTTAGGACCGACTGTATTCATAAATGATCTTAAATTATTAGGTTTTGTCTCCCAAGCAGACGCTTGTAAAATTTCATTCTCTCTCGAATTATAATTTCGATATATGACAATCTGCATCTGAAATAAATCGCTAAGATTTTTCTCCTTTAGAATATTAGAAGCACGTTCAAACATAGTACAAACTGTTTCTTTTGTAGCAGATAATAAACTTGACATAGAACCTGTTGCATCCAGAAGCAAAACAGTACGCGAAGAACCTGACACAAAACTTGCTCCCTGATTTTGATTCTTTAAAAATGTTTTCACAGCTTCAATATTTCCAGAAATCAATGATGACATAAAACTTTTAGAAGCTTCATGTTCCTGTCTGCATTGTTCTATAGAAAGTTCTTTAGCACCACATCTACTCTCATAAAGATCATTACGAGCTTTATTCAAATTTTTGTAAAGATTAGAACCTATAATTTTTGGAAGATCATCCTCCCAAGTAGACCCAAGAATCCATTCTAACTCTTTATCTAATAAAATCATTCTATATGAACCACGATCACCTTGTCGTGCTCCTCTTCCCATTATTTGATATTCTTCAGATAATTCTTCTGAAAAAAATGTCTGAAGTACATGAATGCCGCCGTTTGCTAAAAGCTGCTGATTTCGACAGATAAAGTCAGTTCCTCGGCCAAAGGTTCGCGTTAATAGCGTAATTCGACCTTCTAATGCAGCACGTTTAATACATAGCTCTCTTTCTTTTACAGAAACCTTCTCTGTAATAATTTGTACATCGGTTTTTATCGATGATAATTGAGAAGAATTGTAAAAATCCATCAATTTTTCATCTGATTCGAAAAAAACTAGAATAGCACGTCCTGCACGACATACAACATCCATATCTCCACGTAATGCCATGTAATATTCAGATTCCTTGACTACAAGTACATCAGTATTTGAATTAAACATACGATTACTGCTCCCGAATACAGATGGAATAAATGTTTTCTTTTCTACATTGTACACTCTTCTTAATATATTCTGTTCAGACATAGCCAAAGTTTTCAAAGTACCGGTCACACCAGTTATATAAGCGAATTCATGTGGCATTTCAGCATAGGAAAATGTTCCACAGTTTACGATAATACCTACATTAGTTTCCAAGCTAACCTTACTGATATTATCTTTCTCATGTTCATGATAATAGGCCCATATTGTACTGTAACCATGGACAACATTATCGACTATCGATTCACCTTCCACATAAACAATTCTGTCATTCTGTACAATATACGTTGAAGACTGAAAAGATTCTAGAGCAATCAACATATCTTTTATCGCTTCATCGAAAAGAAAAATCCAATTACTAAAACGAGTAGCACATGCTTTATATGCTTGTGTATTTTTGACAACATTCAAATTTTGTATTGTTTTATTTTTCCAGATTGTATCCAGCAATATGTTAATAGTGGAATCTTTAATATACACTGAAGGTGAATACGTTCCACCATAGAATTTTTCGCTTAGAAAAACATCGACTTCATCAATTAACAATACTTTCGGATCTATGCGTACTGATTTTGTTGCTACATCTATCGTACTGCTATTATTGACAATCATTTCACATACTTTATCTCTCACATTACATTGTTCATTCAATAAATTCTCACACAATCTATTAAAAGTACCATATTCAATACGTTCTTCGATGCCGAGTGCTCTAAACACCGGAGCAAAATCATTTTTATCTCTCATACTCAGTACTTCACTGTAACAAGAACAATTAACATCAACTCCAATTAATGCAAATACACATGCAGTCACTGCCATGACAACTGATTTTCCTTCACCGGTTCCTATTTGTACTAAATTATTCAACAAATCATCATATCCTTGATAGCCAATACCAAGAATACGGAAAATAGCAATAACTTGTCCAACATGTGGCATCAGTAGATATGCCTGTGCTGCTTCAATGCCACGCATAGCATTGTAATGTTGTGTATTTTTTAAAGTCCATACAGCAAAAATATGCGCCAACAAATCCGAAATCTTTTTCTTAAAAGAATTATTCCAACGAACACTATTACGATGTTTCTGAACTATTGTTCCTACGATCAGTTTCGTTTCTGAAATTAATATGTCGAGATTTGGCTCTGTGTTAGACATCTGATCAAGTAATTCTAAATGACGAGCTATCAGACTGTCATAGGTTTTTCGAAAATTGTAATATTGTATTCGTAATATGTCCGTAGCAATATCATCTCCATCTAGTTCTCTGAGCATGTACTCAATATCATCTTGTTTTTGCATTTTTTCACGCCGTCTACGCCAATCTTCACCTGCCAAAGATGCATGTTCGACTATCAATCTAGCACCTATATCTGTTTTTTCTAGAGCTATCGGCAATTTCATAAATGCTTTTGTACCCACTTTTATTTTGTAGTTTTTTAGAATCTCATCGATTTCTGCATTAATTTTACTATCAAACATCAATAGATTTTCCGCGAAAAATTTCATTTTTATAAGTAGTTCAGCTACTTTTGCAACATCCAAACCAGAATTGCCTGTTTCTCTAGATAAAGATGCTATTGTTTCGAAAATTTTTTCCTCCGCTGCATCTAACACATGTCGAACATCGAAATCTGATAGAATTATGTGTCTATTAAAGGATGAAAGATGATTGTAATACGTACGAAATTTATCGGAATCCCGTTGTGATAGATCTGATTTTGATGCTATACTAAGAAGTTGATCACCTAGTCGTTTAACTTTTCTTTTGATTTCTTCTTCTAACTTCTCTATATCTAATTTGAACGGTAAAAGATCTTTCAACTTTGAATTTATATTTCTCAGTGTACTAATCAATATCATGAGATGACTGAAAAATTCTTCACGTCGTCTTTCAAATCGTGTTGTTTCGTCACTAATGAGATCGACATTCAATTGTACTATCAAATTATTTATTGCTCTTTCTAATTCGATTATCATATCTGCATGCAAGATCACATTTGTAATACCTTGTAAATATTTCTCCATTGAAGAATGTTGTGGACGCCATTGTCGAATATTTCGTACAAGTACGTCCCATTGCTTAGCTACTATTAAAACTTGACGTAATTCAATAACATTCATCTTACTAATGGCTAAGCGATAGTTTTTAGAATTTTCATCGATATACTCGCACATATTCTGAAATTTTTTGCAACCATTCTGCAGAACATTATCAGGTACAAAATTTTTGTCTTTTGTACCGAGCGTCATAGAAAAATCAATACAAATGATCATATTGCTAAACGCTTTTTCAACAATCTGACATTGTTCTATTGTTGCTATGTTTGTAAGAGTGTCAGCGCAATGTGAAAAATGTTTACCTATTAGATCACGAACATTTTTATAAATTCCTACTACTTCGGGAAAATAAGAATCTATAGAATCTCTATATAGGATAATTTTCTTCACGATATCAATAGCGGACTGCATATCTTGCCTGTTCAACGAAGTTTCTACATCTATTTGATAATCATAGAGTCTTCTGGAAATTTCTGCACGTAAGATTTCAAAAAGTTCATGCATATTTTGGTCTTTATATCTTTGAGCAAATCCAGCGATTTTTTTAATAGTACGATCATCATCATCAGTACGTCTGAGAACTTCATCTAAATCACGTTTATGTGTTTTTTCTTCATCCATAAATGAATTACCCAATTCATCGATCTGCAATTTAAATGTATTTTGTAACTCATCTGGTAAGAAGCATAATGCATTTTTGAACGAACGTATTTTTTTAGGACGTTCATTCAAAGAAGCACTACGTACTTGATCTATAGCTTGACTAAAACTTTCTCGAATGTTTCCCAACATAGAAATGTAAGCTTGATGAAATTGAACATCACCACGTGATGCAGCCGTCTTCAATTTTGCTAAAAGGTCTTTAGGCGGATTCACAGAATAGTTGTCAATATCTGTAAAATCATATCGTTTTAAAATCGCAACAACTATATCATCGAATCGTTTTCTTAGTTCATTAGTCTTCTCGATAACTAAACTCGATGTATAATGATCTGCTAATTCATGTTGTACCCAACTGAGATTTTCCATGATTTGTTTAGCCTCGTCAAAACTATCGACATTTAGAAAAGCTTCAATTACATCAAGTCCTCGTATAATAATTCGAGATAATAGTTCATTGATTTCATTTTCAAATTTTCGAAAAGAATTTTGAGTTCCACTATCAAGTAACTCCATGATATTAGTTTTACTCACAGCTATTCCAATTTTCTCAATGTTATCTTTGATTTCTTTTATTTGACTCCGATTATTTTCTCTTTCAATTTTTCCATCTAACCAATGAACAATGCTTCGTATATTCTTCATCAATACATTTAATGAGTTACTTAAGTCATGTTGAATTTGAGCTAGATCTCTCGGATTTAAACTACTAATATTAATGCCACGTAGTATCATATCTACATTTGCATAATCTCGTTTAGATATGTAATCTAACACAATTCTATAGGCTTCTCTAATTTCTTCATCAACTTTGTTTTGATACTGTCTATATAAACTTTGAAATCCAACATTTCCAAGCACGTCTCCACAAACTTTATCTAAACAACTCAATGTTTGTGCAATATTTAATTGACTTTTTAAATCTTGACTCCTATTCGAAGCTCTCGATTGCTCCATATTATAACTTAACGTATGATAATACTGAAGAAATCGTTGATGCCAATATGCAAGCTTCTCAACTCCATCAATGCATTCGAAAACATGTGTATATCTACTAAGAGTGGCTAATTCTTGTAATCGCATTTGTAAATCATATGAGTATTGTAGACGATCTCCTTCAGCATCGATGGAGCATGCTTGCTGAAAACTTGCACTGATTTCCTTATTTAGAAAATTACTGTATTCACCTATATAATCTTGTAGGATTCGAATAGTATCAGTTGCAATTTCGTTAACACAAACATGACTCACGTTTTCACATTTGTTAAGATATACAATTGCGTTATTCACTGTTGAAACATCTAATCTATCGTTAAAATCATATCGTTGCTTATTCTTTTCACGTTCAACAATCATTTTCTTTTTCTCTTGAATAATCCTGTCTAGTAAATCAACACTCTGAAAGCCTTTCTCTTGTAGAAAACTCATCTCTTCAGGTGACATAGAAACATGTGACGTCATTAATGAATGATATTCTTTTCTTATCGAATGACCACGTTCTTTTAAATAATCATCATTTTTTAGAGGTGCGATCTCACGATCCAGTGTATTTAAATCGGGATACGCTTGTTTTCGTAGATATACTCGAGCTGGATGCAAATTGTTGTATTCATGTTTTATTTGTTCGAGTTCTTTTAGTTCCTGCTTTATTTTATACACTGTTTCATCTTGCAGATTAAAAGTCTTTTGAATATGATCGAACGTTCTCTGCGTAGATCGATAAAAATGTTCAAATACACGTTTTCTACATGTCTGAAGTTGTGGAATAATACATTCGAAAACAGTCATCGATTCAATTTTTACAAGAATTTCCTGTGCTATACTAATATTGTCGGGATGCTTCAAAGTTAAATCTAGTTTTATCAAACGATCTTCTAATTGCTGAGCATAGCGCATTAAATCTTCTGTGATACGTTGCATAAGTGTATCGTACATTCCTGGATTAATACGATTGATCCATTGTGCATTTTCCAAACGTGACAATGATCGTGCGAAATGCATAAAACTAATTATTCCTGTTTGGTTGTCAATGCTAATTAGAAATTGTTCTGCCGTTTTCTGTAACTCTTGTACGTATCCACGTATTTTTTCAACCGTACGAAAATATGTTCCAGCCGTTTTTGACTCAACTTCGGGCATAGTACGTAAAATTTCCATTTGAATAACCAATTTCTCTATGTATTCTAAAGCATAATCTCTATCTTTCTCAAGATATTCCTTAATTCTTTGATTGATCTCATCAAAATGTCTAATAAATTTCTCTATGAATCCATCGTATATTGCGTTTATATCTTGAACAGTATCTTCTGAGATACGATGTGATGAGTATTCATATTCATCTAACATCCTACTTTTCTTTTTCAACTTTTCCACATATGTAGAAATACGATCTTGAAGCGCAGAATTTTCTTTGGCTGATATCAGTATTGAGAAACAATTTTTCAAAATTTCGAGATCATTATCGTTCAATTGTATCTTCTCCAAAAGAGGAACTACTTTTTCTGAAAAACTACTCAAATGTCGCAAGAGTAATTTTATGATATCGCAATATTTGTCTTCAACATATTCACCTAAATGATCTTTTAAAATAGATGAAGACTGAGATATCGTAAGAATAGTTTCGGCTACAGCTTGAAAATCATTAATAGAAATGAGTTTAGGCGCAGTTTGTATTAGTTTTTCATATCGTTCTTCGAAATCTTTACAATTTTGATTATATTGTGGTTGAAGTTCTTGAAAAGAATTTTTCAACAATAAAAGATTATGTAAATGCATTCCGACTAAAGGACTAGTCAAAGGTTCTTCAGTCAAAGCTAGACTTCTTTGCTGAAGTTCAGAATGAATGTTTTGCATAAGTGTTGCTGTTGATATTAGTTTTGATCCTAAATGTGCTCTCAATCCTTGCACGGTTTGAATGTATTCAATACATGTTTTATAGTTGACAATATCCTCTTCTCTCAATCCATCGCAACTAGTCAAAGTACGATTTAATTTGTTCATTACTTCTTTCGAGTACTCTTCCAAGTTTTTCGATATAAAATCAATAGAATCTTCATAGGCATCTCGAACGGAACTTTTCTTCGTTAAGTCTTTCAACGTCTTTAAACTATTAACATAATAAATTAAAAGAGTAATATCCTTGTGTTTTAGTGCACAAATTATATTCATCTTGTATCTATTTACTTGATTCATTACAGTTTTCTGTGTTTCTTCTCTCATCGGATATCGAAAAATTTCGCCCGGACGTAGAATACCACGGAGACGCTGTAATTCTCGAATCAAAACTTTTGGATCTCCATGAACAGGATCTAATTTGTAGGCACCCTTCTTAGTTTTTTCAATCATATCTGATAATATTTTTATGAAAGCGGTGTCCCATCGTAAAGAAGAATCTTCATCGACTTGTAACGTCTTAATACTTTCTAATAAATTCGTAATATTAGTTGTCTCAGGATATTTTGTAAACACATAGAAAATAGCGTCAAGTCTATCCTCGATCCCAGGCAGCATACTGATCAACATATGTGCCAATTTCTGAATACCTCGTCCTTTGTTACCTAAACTCGCATAACTTGAAAAAGCAAGTATTTTGATACTCTTACATTTCTGAAAAGCTTCGAGAACGGCCGTAGAATTAGCAACATCTACTTCTGGACCTATTGTATCACAAAAACCCAGCGTATCACATATTGTAAGTTCACCAACTTCATTAGGACCGAAAATATCTTTTAATTGTACTGTAACAGGTATGATACAATGAGTTTCACACTTCTTCTGTGAATTACTAATCAAATTGTTCAAGTCAGGATGCTTAGTAGACTCAACTACCATAATATGTTCTAGAACTATTTCAGAAGTAACTTGTACTTGAATCTTTTTCATCTTAGAACCTGCAAGAAATTGAGCTGTGGTAGATTTTCCTGTTCCAGTCGCACCTACAAACAATATGATTTCTTTATCACGCATTAATGTAGCTGCGTGTTCTGCTTTTGTCAAGAGTCTTTGTATCTGCTGTAAATTTAGTGGCCTGATTTTTCTCAAGAGTTCTCTTAGAAGACGTACCGCAGATAATATATTGTTACTATGTATAAATCTATTTATATCCTGAAGAGTAAACCTAATTTCATCCGTAAACATGTCTTGCCTTTTCATCTGATCTTGCAGGTGAGTGAACAATCGATCGGCTTCATCTTCGTTTTTTGAATTCGTACAATCTTCAAGTAATCTTCGCTCACAATATTCAAGAAGTTCCATGACCATTTTCTCAGCGCAGGAAGGCATATTCGCCAAATCTTGATCCAGAGTCTTAGGATCTTCTTGTTTTTGTTTTTCTTCATTAAGAATTACACATGATTTGAGACTGTCAATCATTTTTGAAAGTTCAAGTAATTCTTTCAATTCGTTTAATTGTTCTTTTTTTCTTTCGGCATCTTTCTTTCTCCAGCTTCTTTCGTATTGTAGAATTTTATTTTCTGTTTCTTGAATTTTTTCGTATATCATAGTAATATTTTGAATTTTCCATTTTGCCAACCCTCTATCCAATCTCTGTTCGAGATATTGAAGTTTGGTTTCGTCAGTAGTCGTATCAGCTTTTAAAATAGTAGCGATTTCATTGGCGAGTAGTGCCAATTCGTTTAAAGTTGTTAAATATATTTTGTGTTTTTCGATTTCTTTAGATTTGTCTTTTTTTTCGTACTTTTCGATTTTTTTTCTTATATCGGCGATTGCATCTGGTAGTTTTCGTACATCTTCAATTGCACAGTTTTCTAAACCACTGGTTAACTTCTGGACTAATTCCAAAAGTATCGGTTTTGTATCTTCTCGTTTTGATGAAGCTGTTCTATGAATATAACGATCTTTTGGATCGTTGATGATGAGATCTATGGCTGCTGTTAATAAATTGTCAATCATTAACTCTGCACTTTCATTTGGATCATCTTGTTTTCGTAAATTTTTAGCCTGTAAAATAGCATCTGCGTATACGTTAGTAAATTGCATTTGTAATTTGTATGGAATGATATTAGATTGCTTTATAGAATCAATATAATCGGCTCGTTGAATTTGTTCGTCTGTTTCAAATTCTATCAAAATTCCAACCCAATGCGAATTTTCTAAATTGTATGGAATGAGTATAATACGTTTGCCTGCGTGACTTTTCCTTTCTTGCTGTAAACGTTCTTCAAATTGATTGTTAATACTGCCGTCAACAGCATCTATTGCATAGATTGGTTTTGTCAAAGATTCAGGGAGCTGTTGAAGTAATTGTTCCAATTGCTTTTGCAAAATTGCATGGATACTTTTATTAGTATGATGCTGTCTTGCCGCAGACTCTGTAAAATCGTCCATCGTTTAATAGCTTGACTTTCACGTGTCACAAATATAGTGCCTTGTTGATTGCAAACTTGAACACTCTAAATATTACGAAAAAAGATAGAACGATATTATCATCAAGTGAATAGTATTCACATGTATGTGAGACTATGTCTGACAAGCATACTATGTATTTAGTAGTACGTTAAATGTACGAACAGTTCGGTGTTTGGGGCGAATTTAGGTCGAAATTTTCAAAAACATGATGGCTAGAAACGAGTCTTCCCTGACGATTCGACTTCTTCAGATGAGAATAGATTTGTTGTTTTTTTGTCACTTACTTAGTTGATGATCACAATTTCAATACTGATGTGGCAGTTGAAGTAGTTGTATGACGACAATGTTGATGAGTAATTCTTTAAAAACGACAATAATATAAGAGTCAGTAGTCGTATTTTATCTAGAACAGAGAATACGAAATATAACCTGACTCATTTATGAAATGACTAATAAGAGTTTGAATGGCACAATGCTGAGTAATCGATCAAACATTGCGAAAGAGAACGGAAAAAAATCGAAAATATCATCTAAACTTTTTCATCCACATATATGCAGTAAGAACGAAACATTTTTGACAAATATTTTATCACAACCAGTGGAGTCTTTTCTACTTCAGTTTCTAACTTTCTTTCACAATGCTCGTAATGTTAATGACACAGAAGATCTTTAAGAAGAAAACAGTAGCAAGAAAAAAATTCTCACAGGCAATGTTGCAAACTCCAAGTTCTGCAAAAATCTTATACGAGAAGCAAATGCAAACACAACTACGTTATGAATTTCAATTATTTGTCTTATCTTCTTTTTTTTTCGAAAAACACGTGCTAGTGCAACAGTAAGATCATCTTTAGAATATAGCAAGATATTTTCCCTGCAACGACGAAAATATTACCAAAGCAAACACATTATTCTTGATATCATATATTTGAAAAAGATTAAGAACAAACGAACAATATTATTATCAGTTGTCTCCCTCCAGCATAATACTGCTTCTCTCATCACCCAGCTCCTGACTTTGACATATGGCTGTACGATGTTGACATGAATATGAGGGACAAATGCACAATGTAGATCCTGTGATCATTATGTTCATTCGTATCCCACTATATCCATACCCGTGTCCACACACTGACATCCTTCAAGATTCTTCTATTCATTTCTCGATGTAAATGATTCAAGCTAAATGATTTGTAATTAATTAAGAGAGAAATACTTATCATAAATAGTGTCAAATCTGGAAAGTGAATTGAGAATTATGAGTGCTGACAAAGTGCACACATTCAATCTCTTTTGATGTAGAGTCAATGAAAGTGTGTAAGATTGAAACTTCTAAGGTTATTATTCGATTGATCTTAAGTTTGTGGTTTGATATATAGCCGATGAATACGGAGATAACAGCTATTCTAATATTTAATATCCTTTTGTTTTGTTGAATTCGATGCAAGGCACATATAAAGAAGCTCACTATCATCTTTAAGCGTTTCTGTTGATATTTTTCTGTTGATAATATTTTTTATGTGAGTAGAGACAAAATGATAAAAGTTACTTTATTCTTTCGTGTGATAAGAAAAACCAAGTAAAAAAAACATGAAAATGAATCTCTTTCAAATAAAAAGATTTTTCATTGAATGTGTCCTTTTGCTCCGTGCTGCACAATATTTCGAACTGGGAGCGATAATATCAATGCGATCTGGAATTGTGAAAATGTGAATGTTTAAAAGCGTTATAACTAAATTCGTACCCATATATTTTATACGGAATCGAATATTCAACATTTCAAAAATTAAATTTGGTCTAGCTTCAGTCAAAAAATAATCACATTTATATTAATAAATAAAGGCGGTTAGAAAATATATAGTTGGATCAAAATTAGACATCACTCAAGGGAAATTAATATTCTTCAATATTAACAGTCAATTAGAGAGAACAATACTATTGATGCACTGAAAAAGTTCTCTGCACTGTCTAAGCTAGACTTGCGATTGTCGAGTTTCTTTTTCTGAAATGGACAGATATTCTAAAGCACGTTAACTAACCGGCCTAGAAATGGACCACTTGGGTCTGCCCGTCTCAAGCTATTTTTTCTATCGGGTCGGAAAACATCACCATTGAATAACGGTGAATTGGGTGGACCGAAGATTTTGTTGAGCAGTCCGGTTCGGACCTCATCTCTATTTTCATCAAACTTTTTACACCAGAAAATAGAAAAAAACTTAGGGTGTCGATGCAGTTGGGCACGATGAGGTGACCCATCATACAGCTAATTATATCCACTGATCTCTTGCACATCCAGTTTTGACATATTTTACTTTGCATTGTATAACAAAATATATACCACCCCTTCTTTACGAAATTTTTAAAATAAGTTTTCATTCTCTCAGTGATTAAAGTCGAAAAATTACTATCGACATTATACTTTTACTTTTCCTTGAATCAACAATTTTTTTATGGTAGGAAGAGTAAAGATTGAATAGTGTAGAAATGATTCGTTCTTTTAAGCGTCTTGTGTGCAGAATAAAACGAAAGAGTATGCTTCGAATAAACCCCGCATATAATTTGATTTAAATGTATTTTAACAAAATTGAAAAAAAAAACAATCTATCTGACTAGTTCCAAGTTACTAGATATGCAACAGTACAACATTAGTTTTTGAAATGTTGAATTTCATATGGTTTTCATGTGGATCATATCAACTGATAGTGTAAGTGTTCATGTAGATCTCATGTGTGTGACTACTATCATAGCAAGTATTCGAATGATGTTGAAATAAATCTTTTCAAATAACAGAAGGGTGTGGGTTTCCATATCAGCATAACTCATGCAACCATTACTGTGCTTTTATATTTGCTAAAAGAATTATTAGATAACATCGAGAATACTTCTGTTCGGAAATGATCTCAAGATCACAAATAAGATCTACCCTGTATTTTTACTCAAATCACAAAGCATTTTTGATACGAATAGCGTCTTTAAGGATCATCTGAATCAAATAATTATTAAACCGAATTCATACAACCTGAATAGTTTGGATGGGTGTTGGTCTATGCGTATGGAGTACTACGTGTGTGGGTGCAGTTCGCTCAGATGAGATGAGCCATACCACTACCAGCATATCTACTGATCTCTTGGACATCCAGTTTTGACATATTGTACTCTGCATTGTATAACAAAATATTTACCACCCCTTCTTTACGGAATTTTTAAAATAAGCTTTCATTCTCTCAGTGATTATAGTCGAAAAATTACTATCGACAGTATGCTTTTACTTTTCCTTGAATCAACAATTTTATGGCAGAACGAATAAAGATTGAATAGTGTAGAAAAATTTTGTTCTTTTAAGCGTCTTGTGTGCCGAATAAAACGAAAGAATATGCTTCGAATAAACCCCGCATATAATTTGATTTAAAAGTATTTTACCCAAATTGAAAGAAAAACAGTTTATCTGGGTGTGGGTGTGGATGTGGGTGTGCGTGTGGGTGTGGGTCTCGGTCTGGGTCTTTAATCTGCACCCACACCCCCCCCCCCCACCCCCCCCCCCACCCCCACCCCCCCCCCCGTCAAACGTTTTTCTTTCCAAT